GCACGCAATGCTGACACCTCCTGTCTACAAACAACACACATTTACATTTACATCTGATGCCTCTTTTCTCACTTGTCATTTTAAATTTTAAGACTCAATTCGATCAAAAATAAGAACAATTTCTGCCTCTCTTTCATCCATAATCTCACCTCTCCCGAAGATACTCCATCTCCTGCAATCGAATCTTCTCCCTCTCTCGGCTTTGGTACTCCACTATGAATTCTGGGTAATGGTTGAACACAGGGTATTGGCCTTTGGTCAGTGGGGTAAAGTCAGAGAGTAAAGTCCTCGGATGGATGTCAGCTGGTGTGCTGCCCATGAGTCTGTAGGCCTCCTTTATCATGGCGCCAACATCCAGGTTGTTACGATGGTGAAAGAAATACTGAAGAAGAGGAGAGACAGAACAGTTGACACTAGGACTATGTTTATTTTCAGACAAGCGGTGAGGAGCAAGAAAGAAAGGGTACGGTAGCTACCTCAAAGTCCTGTTTCTGGGAGCAGAGCAGGAGAGGTTCTCTGCAGCAGATGATGTAGGCCGTGCAGGCCATGAGCAGGAACGACGGATGATTGGAGAAAATGTTGTCAAACAGTTTCAGCCACTCATCACGAGTCAGGACCTCTGAGAACAAGGTTTCCAGCAGAGGCCACACATAGAGCTGTAACAGACAGAGAGACATGAAAACATGTGCATAAATGAGGACATGCATTTCCACAGGTGTGAAAGTGAGAGCGTGCAGTTCTAGGAAAGCTTGTCTGACAACTTCTGCAAGAGCCAGCAGCTGTATGTTACCTGTGAAGTGATGCCACAGTCCACCAGGTGCTGCAGAAGCTCCTTGTCATGATGAGCCAGAACGTTCTCTGCCATGCTCAGGATGTTCAGAGGAGGGTTGGGGAAATACTCGAACCAATGCTGGCACCAGTTCACTGTGCAAGCAAACATCTGAGTCAGTAGAAATCCATGTTAAAGTATTCAACTGACTGATAATACCTTCAATTTACATCCAGATATCATTCAGATACCTAATAAGCAGAGCAGCATTTGAAAAATGTAGTTTTAGAATTATAAAAATTCTAAATCCTTCAGCGTAACACTCTATAGGCCTTGGCTCCTTCCACTGAGAAGCAGTGCCAACTTTCATGAAACCTAACTACACTCAGAGCAGCAATTCAAGCTGTCATGCAGTCAAGCTTTCAGATGTGAGCAGCTGAAATACTTTCACAGAAAAGTACCTATGACGGTCGCCACCACCTCAAAGCAGAGCATTGGATTATTCTGGAAGAGCTTGACGAAAGGAAAAGCTACCAGAGGAAGGTACTCCACCTCCCCAAAGATGGCTGCCCAGTGAGCTAAGGCAGACAAAACCCTGTGGAGTAGATAAAAAAGACCAAATGATGGATTTGTTGAAAAACATGCAGTTTTCCAAAAAAAAAAATCTGCAGTCAAAATATGTTTAAGGTTCACTTGTGAGAGGCAGCTGTGTATATGAGAGAGTGAGCACCTTTGCAGTCCTCTCTGCAGTTTGTGACTTTTAATGGGGTATTTATCATGCAGAGTGAGGTAGGCTGAATGCAGGCCTTTGTCGGTCAGACTGCTGTATGCTGCATGGTTCTCTGGGAGACAGAGCAAAGACCTCCACACAAACATCCTGTAACAAGGAAGCAGAGATATATCATGTAAATCTTCTTGATGTGCAGTGTTCAGTCGTCAGACACATGCATAAATGTTGCTCCTATGAAAGTGATTTTTACCTGTATTTAGCAGGATATTCTCCGAATGCTTTCAACAGAGCAACCAGTCTCTTCTTATTCAGACCAGCTGGTAATTCATTCTATTTTAAGAGAGACACAAAATCTTAAACACTCCATCAGCTTCAACAGTCACAGAAATGCTTTGTGTACCTGTATGTGCGAAAAACTAAAATAATAACAATAATAATAATAACAAGAAGAAGAAGAAGAAGAAGAAGAATTTAAGCTTCATGTCACTCTAATTTTTTTAAAGTCTAAAACTGACCAATGTGTAATGAAAAATCAGCTGATGAATTACTGAATGAGTGTGTGTTTCTGTCAAGCCATTTTTGATATTTAATAGCCTGTCCAGAAAAAAACTGCAGATATCAGCATTTTGACGAGTTGTAATTACACCGTGACAAGTCAGAATTTCTATTCCATAAGTCTATAAATCAAAACAACTGTTAAAAATCATAATTCAGTCTCCACCAGTTAAAACAGGAGTTACAGCTATCACGAACTTCATTATGAGTAGTCAGGATTGTTGATAAAAGTTAATAAATGCTATGAAATAAAAAGAGGAGGAATTTGCAAAGAACAAGAGCTTTGTTCTTTAGAGACTCATAATTGAAATTCACTAGAATTTGAGTTGCTCTGACACTGTAATAAAAATGTCTTGTCCTATGCAGTTATGGCTGCCTCTGCCTCCCACTTGTTAAAGCTTCTGTTGTAACTGCAGATCTGCAATGTCATTTCACCAAGTCAAAACTCTAATTGATTTATGTGTCATTATATTTAGTCCAAGCAGAATTACAATGTGAAATATCTACATCATTTTATCCAGTTAAAACTTAACTTAAGATATCTAAAAAGGACAATGAATCCTAAATTAGGGTTAGGGTTAGAATTAAAGATATCTTGAACTAAAATTAAGCAGCAGATATCTGAAACTGGAACTTCAGCTTGTCACTATTCTGCAGCTACCTGCAATTCACACGGTGGATATCTGCAGCTAAAACCCTCAGAAGAATGATGGTGTCGATATGTGATATTTTTGACAAGAACTGAATTACAGATCAATGTGTATCCACTATAGCTACAAAATGTTAAAACAGCTGCCATATGTGTGTGTATTTCTGCGTTGTTTCTACCTCTTTATCCTCAGCTGCAGACACAGTCGGGGGTCTAAGTATCTTCACTTGTGTCCGCCTGCCCGAGCTCCTGGCTGGTCTTTGAACAACCTCTGACCTGACCTTGACCTTAAGGCCAGAAAAGTCCTGATCAGCCTCACCACCTGAGACAACTGCTACCTGGGATGGAGGAGGCTGTGGATGAATACAGACCAAGAAAAATATGTTATCCACAATTCAGATAACTCTTGAAACCTTGTGCATCACGTTATGGCAACTGTCACCTTGTTCAATTCCTGTGTGAGACTCTGGACACTGTAGATATTGATGCTCCCGTTATCCATGACAGCCACAACATGTCGGCCACTGGGGCTGACTGACACTGTAGTTATGGCGTCATCGTGGGAACCCATGTGGAAGAGAAGTCTGCATGTGTGAATGTGGATAAAACGCATCATGCCGTCCTGGCTCAATACACCCAGTATCTACAGAGACAGAAAAAAAAAGAGCCATAAACACACAGGGAACAAACAAGTACTGTGGAGAACAAGTATATAACACATACAGATGTACAGCACAGTGCAAAAGTTTTAGGATGTTTACATTCTTATCGATCGTACAAAATGGTCAGGGAGATGTCTGATCTGTCCCACATTCATTTGTCAGCATGAAACAACAACCCCAAACATAAAGGAAGGGATACAAAGAATTAGGAATACAGGGAACCTGCAACCGCTATAATGGAACACAGAGCCCTGATCTTAATATCTTGGAGTTGGTTTGGGATTACATGCAGTGTACATTCTCCAAAGTTTTCAGAACAACCTGCAAGATTTTGACAAAC